GTTTCTAGAGCTTTCCTGTAGCCACCTTTTCGAGCACTGACCTTCCTGATCCCTGAAAAAAAGGCCTCTCTTGGGTATCCCAGACTTCGAATCTCTCTGCAGAATTTGACTAGGTTGAACCAGGCGGTGGCCGCGAAGCAGATCCGCCAGTCTCACATTCTTAGTCACAGAAGAAAATTCAGCCGCGACTTGCGCAGCATCCTTAACTTTCGAACCGAAAAGTTTTTCCTGTCATTTGCTAAAACCAGGGCAGATACCCTTGTAAGGGTATTCGCGTCGACAGTTTACCGGATCTTATTAAGCGACGTCCCCGTCTCTTCGAATAATGAAAAGCTATCAATTCATCCATAACTCCAAATGTTGACGAGAAAAGAACCAATCCGATCAGCCAACTTGACCCCGTTTGAGGATCTTATCAAATGACCCTCGGTCACAACTAATCACTGTCAGGGTTTCAACCTGGGTCTCCTATGACCAGACCTTGGACACCGGGATACTTGATCCGTACTACAATGTTAAGTTTGTTCCAAGTAGTCATTGATAATCCCCTCTCTTTGTCCTAGACATAAATTGGCTCATCGTTGGGTGTCCTGTTTAGTCATCATCCTGCATGCAGGGTCATAACTTAGGACGCGGGCCCTAACCAAGACCTTTTAAAGGCATTCTCTCCTTTCTCACAAAATATTCACAAAAATATATAAACTTTTATCACAGATTTTCCTGCAGTCTAGTACAGGAGAGTCAAGTCTCCGTCTTGACCCACCATAGTCTGGTTGATCGAGCCAGATCTACGACCCGCCACGTTGTTATACTAGCGGCAGTACCCTCGTTGATTGCGCAACGATAGACAGTTTTTCCTGATAAACATCCTATCAAGACTCTCAAAAAAAAAAAAAACGACAGACTCGACTCCTATCTCGTAGACCTGCTGCCAGGTTACGGCGGTCATCAGCCAACACTAGGGGTTGCGCCCTAGTGATGCTAGATTAACCCCTAGCTGGGTCTCATGTATGTCTTAAGATTAGCATCATAGTGCCTGGACGGTGTGTCGCAATAATCTCAGGCCCACTGCGAGAGTCCGCAAATGTCTATTTTTCTCAAAGGCATTTACCTGTTCTCTATGGGACAACACAGAGAGCACTGCATCCTCTCCAAAATCCACAAAAATTCACCACCAGATTCACAGGGTCGTGGCCTCCCACTGTATTAGAGTAAAACAGACCATATATCTTAAAAATATCTTTCAAAATTTCACCAATTTGTGACTTTCCAAAATTTCACCAAAAGAATAATAATTTTTTTGGTCTTTCTCATCAGACTTTTTCATCCAAACTGTCGTCCATGCCGTTTTGAATCATTTAGCCACCTTCTACTTTTGAAAGGGAGTCACTCATATAATCTCACAACCACCTCCCACATGGAGGTCAATCAACCATAAAACACTTACTATTGAGAGACCAACTTGTGGGTCCTCATCTCAATTCAACAATCATTTGACATAGACAAGCATTTGAGTTTCAAACGACTCATAGATCCCTTGAAATTTTTACATATTTTCACCAAACAAACTGTGTTTCCCTTTCTTATACTCGAGCCTATAGTCTGTCCATAGGCAGATTGCGCGAGTACACCAAAGAGTAAACAATTTACACATTTCACATTCACAAAAACGCACGAGATACACCCTGTACACCTCTTGTAGAAAAAACCATCTTACATCAGGATAAGTCCACACATGTGAGAGTGATTGTGATCGCTAAATAAAGAGGTAGTCTATGGTCTTTCTTACGTATAGGGTCGGGATATCCCAACTTACAGGAACAAAAATAGCCTTAAGGCCACACATATACTTAGAGTTGAACAACCTTAACTCAAAAATAAATGAGTGTAATCACTATATCACCAATACACTCAAGGTTGAAAAAAGTCCCAATTCGAAAAAGAATCAGGGGAGATCACAATATCACCAGGTATTGCACAAAAGTTTCACGACCTTAATAGTCGTAATTGGAAAACGGTCGTAATCATAACAATATCACAGACGTCGACTTAAAGAATCAGTTTTACTATCAACTTGTAGATCGTATATATTTTTAAGAACAAAATAACAACAATAATATATTGTAATGCTATATATTATAATGAAGAAAAAATAACCATGAATAATAATGTCATGATCAAGTGAATTTTTCCAACCATGAAGGCTTTCAAATGCAACAATTATAAAAGTATTATACTATACTTCTTGAGTCTGACTAACTCCTTGGATTTGCAGAAATTTTGGCAGCGCTTCCCGTAGAGAAATTAACTTCCCAAAATTTATACAAAGCCAAATATAATAAAAGATCCCAGAAAATGTAGAAATTGACCTAAGTAAAAATAAACTTAGCTCAGAAAATGCAGGAATTGAAACTAACTCCTAGGGCTCTAACACGTGGCGAGCAACTAAAGCAACTACCTATCTAACTGAACTAAGACTAAGTAGTAGTCTCACTCAGCCACATGCAGTTCAAACCACAAAGGTAAGTACTCTCATCATTCCAAGGTCAACTTAGCAAACAATAGTTCATAGTCTCTCAATGATTTATCCCTTTATACCCAGCTTACATAAGGCATAAAGCTAGACCACCCAAACTTATGAAACATGTCTAGCCCAACCATTGAATATACACAAACACAGGGCACAACAATTTTTCTCTTCTTTGGGCATATGACTAGGCTACCCTAGTCGCCCTGAACTGTTTAAGTATCTCAACTTTATATGATTGTCTGCACTTAGTCTTTTGAGGTAGCATATAACTGAGTCGATCATCTTCAGCTCAAGACTCAGTCTGCCCCTTCGTACAACAAGTTTATTCTTAATTAGTATTCTCTTCAGTTGGTCATAAACTATAGTTAGACCACCCAAACTTATGAGACCCTGTCTGACTAGCCTATTCATAAGTAATATAATAATAAAAGTATAATCAAGTTATAGCCTTCTGATTCCAGCATGTGCGAGGCGTTGGACCAAGACCACCCAAACTTATGGAACATGTCTTGGTCCTCAGCCTGGTTCAATTCTCTCAAAGCAGGAAGAGGCTGAGCCACCCAAACTTATGGGACATGCTCAAACCTCCTAGTTCAAAAACTAAAGAAACTAAGAAAAAACCAAAATAAATAAGACAACCAGGCCACCCAAACTTATGAGACAGTGCCTGGTTCCTAAAAAGTCAATCACAAACAGCCCTCGCAAGTCAGAGCAACCAGACAACCTAAACTTATAGAATGGTCTGACTCTTCATGCAATTCCACAACACTGGATCTCCCCAAACTTATGGGGACTTCCCAGCCTCCAGAGCAATCAGACCACCTAAACTTATAGATTGGTCTTACGCTCCACACAATCCAAAATAAACATAGCACTGAGTCTTCCCAAACTTATGGGGACTTCCCAGCCTTAATCGACCCAGTCAAACATGCAGTACTGCCTTCCTCCCAACCTTCCCCCAGATGCAATCCCACAATCTGTTTTTAGTCACATAATAAAACTGAAACTCACATTGTACATACATTCCGTTACTTAGTCTGGTTATGTCCTAAAAGTCAAACTGAAAGTCAAAGTAGAGGGGGCACGTTGTATATTCAGTCAAAGTATAAAGAGAAATATAGATAGGGGCTATAACCGGATTTATAGAGGGAAAGCAACGGTTACCTTTCAGTTCCCTGCCTCCAGAACTCCTCCTGAGTTCCGACAGAGCTCCCACAATCGGTGGGCAGACTCCCCACAGAGTCTTGTTGCGGTCCTACGGGTTGCAATCCCGCCTGCAGCCTTCGTCTCGTAACAAGGATTAGACTGAGAGTAAGAAGGATAGAAAGAGAGGTTTCAGACGCTCGAGATACAAGAGGGGGACAAACTCAACTCCCAAGAGAGGGCCTTGTTATCTTCCTTCGCCTAAGGGCCCCATAATGATGGTCAGCATGCTGCAGCTTGGTCAAATTGGAGTCAAATCACCAACCGTTGACCCTCCTGACAACTCTCTAAGTTGCAGCATTGACCCCCATTTGCAGCAATGTCACCCTGGACAGACTCCAATTACCCTCCCAAAATGC